GGGGGGGGGGGGTGTTTGTTGTTGTTGTTGTTTTACATGAAGGGAGGAAGAAGTAAAACAATTACAGATAAAATAGAATCTGTACAGCAGCCTGACAACCTCATGTCCCAGTCCTCATACCATAGTGGTTTTCTGGTAGTTACTTTAACATTAGTTTTAGCCTAGGAACAGATGTTGCATTTGTCTCAGGGGAAGTTGTGACTGTGTTTATCTTGGAACAGAAAAGTCCCAGAATTGGCATGCACGCATCTCCCTTCTAGTCAGGATTTAATTGGCAGCTGAATGCACTGCCGCTGTCTTGCCATTGATTCAGTATTGCAACCTTGGGACAACTGTTCAGGCTTACTTCATGATATCCTGGGACAAACTGTTAGCACTTCTTATCTTGTGACTCTTTTTAGGGTTGGTTCTAGGACAGCAGACATGGATGTCTGAATGATAAACTCTGTCCTGGGGGAAATGGTTTCTTCTAGGACAAATGCAGTGTCTGTTTAAAGCTTTAGTGATGTCTGTCTGGCATTAATATGTTGGCTTTACATTTCACCTTTGCAAAATAAATTTCAAATAGAAATTTAAGGCAAGAATAAATAATGTACTAGAAATGTCAGGGATTTTTCCACAAATAGCCTTGTGAAAGAATTATGCACCAAGGTATATTTATATGCCTTTCTTTTCATTGTGGAAGGGGTTGCCCCATTCTGAGTTTTGTAGGCTTAAAACAGGTGGGCAAAATGGGAGATCCAGCCGGCAGCTAGATTCCATTTCCCAGTAGCCCCCTGCCTGTCTCACTGGAGCCAGTTTCCATGGAGACTCCAGTAGCGGTGCCAGGACAATGTGGGGTCAGGGTTCCCATGGAGACCGGCCCCCAGCAGCACTGGCAGGACACATGGCTGAGTGCAGAGCTGCTCTGAGGCCAGACCTGGGATCTTCCAGTGGTGACAGTGTGGTCTGGACCCAGGGCAGAGCTCCAACCTGCTGCCTGCATGCCCCTGCCCAGGGCATGTCACCCCAGGGCCTAGCATCGCTCATGGGAACGCGTGTTGTTCCAGGCCATATCCTGCGTGCATGAGCTTCATCTGGGCTGGTTCCATGCACGCAGAATCCAACCCAGTATGACGTGTGGTCCCTGCGAGTGGCACTGGGCTCTGGGTGATAGTCCGAGCTGCCTGAAGGTGCACAGCGCCACGCCAATGTGTCACAGGCAGCACTGGGTGCCAGGCAGCCAGGGCTGGGGCCACACTGCACTGCTGTGTGCCATGTGGGGGCTGTGCCAGGAGGGCCCCGAGTGCCCCAGTGACCCCTGCTGCTGCAGGGAGGGGGGGGAGGAAGTCTGTGGGGCAGGCAGGGGACCCACCCCTCCCAAGCAGCCCCCTCGTTCACCTTCAGCCGCCCACCCCCACTCCAGTCCCCTTGACCACCAGTCCTTTACTTACCTGGGATGGAGCCTGGTCCCATCAGGTTGCAGCCTGCACCACTCCAGGCAACCCTGTACATGGAGGCAGCACGCTTCAGCACCAGGGCAAGGGGCAGCCATAGATATGCTCTGGCTGGCTACCAAAGTGTCACTTTGAAGGACCCCAGCCTCTGGTTGCCTCAGGGCACAGTCCAGGACTGTGCCCTGCTCTGGTTTTTTTTTTTAGTGCAGGTTTTTTGTTGTTTTTTTTGATACCTGGAAATCCAAGAATCAAATTTTGAGCCCACATTGCAAATTTGCAGCGCAAGGAGCATTTGTTTGTTCCCAGCATGGCTCTTGTCACACCTCAAACTGCTTTGAGACGTGGCAAGAGGTATGTGCAGGGCCATCTGGACGTGCCCGTAGGGTACAAATTGTAGGTATAAACTTGTCCAAAAAGCAGTGGCAGAGATTCTCTATTACATGTGTTACAAATCAATTTAATAATCAAGGCTTTCACTTTTACTTCAAATGTTTCTAGATTCTGCTAACAACTTCTTGTTTGCAAGGGTATACTTGTGCACTTTTAACCAACTGCTTTAGGAAACGTGATATTCAGGCATAAAGTCAGCTTCTCTGTTAATTTTATCTTGTGGATCAACTGAATTCTTGCAAGTGTTCTTCATTATGAAATGATGTTCAACTGAAGTACTTTAAAACTGCTGGTACCTTTGTATCCAGGCTACAGCAATTGTGCACCAAGGTCTTACTGACTGGAAACATACACTCATTTTACTTTGTCTGAAACTAGTTCTATCAATGTTCTTTTTCCAATCTCTAACATTAGTGTGGAAATCTTAGGGTTTTTGTATCTTCTTTACAAATGACTCTTTTATTTCTGTCTTTAGAAAAGTATTTTGATATGAAAAAGAACCAGTGCAAAGAAGGTTTGGATATTTACAAAAAGTTCTTAGCCAGAATGACCAAATTGTCAGAATTCCTCAAAGTAGCAGAGGTAAGTAAATTTGTGTGCATCAAAACAGTGTCATTAAGCTATCTGTGCTGGTACAGTAGTATTTATACCAAACTTAATTTTAATGTTTGTTTGACTTGCTAAACAAAGTGATCTTTTATAGACTATTACATGTAAAGGTTGCTTAAATTCCTTTCATTATAGAAACGATATTTTAAGGCATGTTGCACAAATACTAACAGTATAGTTAAACTTCCTGTCTGAAGTACTAGTACATTTAATTAGAAGTAGGTGGCAGCAAGTTGGCTGCATGCGTTTGTAAAATGCTTGCAAAACACTCCTTTACTATGCTGTGTTTTGAGCAGACAAATTCTAAAAAGCAGCGTGGATACTTCTTGCAATGCTTTCAATAGATTTTTTTTGCATGAAAAACACTTCAAGTAGAAATACTGTTTGAGTTTGTTTGTGCATACTAAAGTTCTGGCTCAGAACTTTTGTTGGACTATCCATTTACACTTGTACCAGTTCAGAAAGTTATTCATGTCCCTTTCTGATATCCTAGTTTCTATGTAACATTCAGACCTCACAGTTTTTTCTTTTCATTGCCACTGCATGTAGTAATGTACATTTTTTTTATTTCCTTTTTTGTGAACCCAGCAAGTTGGAATTGATCAGGGTGACATTCCAGATCTTACTCAGGTCAGTGTACATGTCATATTAATTTAATCCAGTTCTTTTGTCCCTTTGTTTTTAATAGTTGATGTGTGTCGTCATATTCATCCCGAGAATGCATTCTCTTCCATATATTTATATATGGAAATACACATACTCACTTTTCCCATGGACTGTTATGTGTACACAATATTTAAACACTTTTGCAATTAGGATAAGAGTTCTGTATACTATCAGTAATTACTATTCAGCATTTATAGGCAGATTTTTATTAAAATGTTTGGGTTTGTTTTTTCAGAAAGGATTTAGTGTGCTACATAAATAGATGGCCATAATGTGTCATTTCTTTGGGAGAGGAGACTCTATTCCACTCAATTGCCATACCTTTTCCATAGTGCACTGATAATGCTGACACATGGCTGGTGCAAGGCATGCCCTGAAAACCCATTCCAAAATAATGGATGTGCTTGAAAATTCCGCAGCAGGGGTAAATTGTAGAATTAGTTAGGTTTCTAAGAGGTATTTGAGGGGTGGTTTGAACTGCAGTAG